CTCAGAGTTCTTTGTTATCTATTGTCTGATCCTTACTGCCTGACAATGGTTAATGAGCTTTATCTGTATTCCTGGGCAAATGAACCCAATAAAAGCCCACTGAGGAACAGGCTCCTGGCCCTTCTCCTTTGAGAGATTGGCCACCTTTCCTCCCAAAGCAGATCCAGTCTTGGTACACTTATTCTTATCCGTGGCGGCTGGGGGGGCCCTGTGGGCGGAGCTCCCTCTCCCACAACCCTTGATCCCACCCTCACTGCAGACCCAGCTCTAGTTCCAGCCCTAGCCCCAGCATTAGCCCCATCACCCATCCTAGCCCCAACTCCACCCTCAGCAAAATGGTTTTCCAGAGCCCCCATGTTGCCCTGTGGCATTTATCAGGGCCTGCAGTTCATGCCAACCAGGTTTAGTGCCCTAGGCTAGAACAGCTGCCTGTAGTCTGTCATTGTTGCCAAGTACTGGCTTCGAGTAACCTCTGAGCCTTTCAATGTTATGCCTTCTGGTCTCTCGGGTTGCTAGGAGACCACATAGCCACATGCTGTTGACATTCCCCAGGGCTAGTAAGCAAGGCCTAGGGTCACTTCCACTTTTTTTAGGCCCCTGAAATATTAAAGTAATGAATAAATAACAAAACATGGTGTTATGGTTATCTATCATGCTGCAATAGACCACCCTAAAACTTAGAAGTTAACACACATTCATTCATTTGCTCACAACTCTGCAGTTTGGGCAGGGCTCAACAGGGAGGTCTCGTCATCTCTGTTCCCAGCAGCATATGACTCGATTCATCTGGCAGTTAGATGGGCTGTGACATCTTTGATGGCCTCTCAGTCTGCGGTTCCCTCTCATCCACCAGTGGAATCCGAGCTTCTACCACTGTAGTTAGACCCCAAGTAGGTAAAGGAAGGAGCTGCCAGGTCCCTTAAAGCCTACACCTGGAACTGTCCTCTATCATGAGATCTATCACATTTTCTTGGTTGAAGCAGGATGCAAGACCAGCCCAGATTTAAGGGGAGAGTGATAAACTCCACCTTTGGTTGGAGGAGCAGCAGGAGCCCACAAAGAAAGGAAGAGTTGTTGACAGTCATACTTGGAGATTGCTTACCATATGGGGTGGTAAAACTTGTGGTGTATTTTAAATGTTTACATTTAACACCTTAACACTTTGAATATTCAAGTACGCAATGACTATATATGATGAAACTCCTTTGAGAATAATATCAATATAAACTTAATACATCAATATATCAATATAAATTTAAATTAAGGTGGGCCTCAAAGAACCCTTCTTGCTTCCCCTGGTCTTAGAGTCTGTTGTCCTGGAGCCTGTCTCAGAGTCTGGGAAGGAAGTTCTTTCTCTCTCTGAGTCCGGAATGACTGTGTAATTTGTAACAGGCACCAACAGTCATTCATTCCCGAGGGCGCTTGGCCTTCTCAAAGTTCTTTTTCTTCTGATTGTAGGTATAGTGAAATCGTAGGGAAAGCTCCTGACTGTCTCCCTGCCAGGGCATTAGCCTCTCCGCCTACATAGTAGAAGCACTAGTCTCTCCCCACGCAGTCTGCCCCTATAGACTGTCATAGGGGGTTGTTAGTCTGTGTGTCTGCCATGCAGCAGCCACACCCTGGATAGAGAGGTGGTGTCTCACCTGTAGGGTGAAATGATTCTGTGGCGCATACACGAAAAAGACTTAATAGTGCCAATTAGCAGTGGGGGTGATACATCCTGTGGATCAGAAATGAGGAGGAAGTATCAAGGAGCTTTGGGAAGCTTGTATAAGAATTCTGGGGCTTTGAGACCTGGCTGGCATAGTTCAGTGGATTGAGCTCAGGCTGCGAACCAAAGCATTGCAGGTTTGATTCCCAGTCAGGGCACATGCCTGGGTTGTAGGCCATGACCCCCAGCAACCACACATTGATGTTTCTCTCTCTCTCTTTCTCTATCTCCCTCCCTTCCCTCTCTAAAAGTAAATAAATAAATCTTTAAAAAAAGAATTCTGGTGCTTCGGATAGAGTAGCTGCTGTGGGCTGGAGAAGAAAATGGAACCAAACAGAAAGGCAGTCAGGCAAGGTGCTAAAAAGTTGTGTTTGCTCCTTACAATGAGACAGATTATTGTGGGTTCACACAGACTGCTATTTGGGGGACATAAGGTTTTAGGTTTCTTTTTTAAGTTTGTATTTTCTGTAATCAGGTCCTTTCTGTTCTCTTAGTGTTTAGTAGATTTTTAAAATGCTAGTCTGGTCAGCAGTGCTAAGAGGAATTGAGAAAGAGGTTTTTGTCCAGTATGAACCAGAATTTTAAAGGGGAAGCAGCTTACCAACCACCTGACAGTGGGAACACCAGTGCTGCTCAAGTAAGAGCTCCTCAAAGGGAAGGTAAACTGAGGGCAACTGAGCTGGAAACTCTTGTTCAGAAATTCTCCCCACACGACGATGTGTTTATCAAATCTGGGTCTCTCCCTCTCTCCCCACAGTCCATTGCTATGGCCCAGACAAGAGGCAAGAAGGGGCCTCAATGAACAATGAGATGGAAGGCTGAACTGCGATTGGCGGTCCAGGGCTGGCACAGGTGGGTAACTGTGGAGTTTGCTCCCAAGACTGGAGCCAACAAACGTAAAATCTGGTCTTAATCAGGAGATGGTGGAGAGGGGGTTCAATTTGAGCCTGAACCACTAGGCACCAAACAGGCAGACAGGTTACCAAATCTTTTTTCTAGTTAATGGAGGAGGGGACACACACAGACTGTAGAAGACTCCAACCAGTGCCTGGGAAGGGGATGAGTGAGGATGAGGGGGTTAGCATAGCCCTTTAAGCAAACTGGGGCCCAGAGCAGAGCGTAGCTAGATAGCTGGAATCTAAAGCAGAGATGGGGCAGAATTAGGGATAAGGAAAGGCTGCCGATTGTGGATACATGAGGTTGGGGAACCACCAGGCACTGTGGCCACGACACTTGGGAGACTTGAATCATTTTAGACCCCACCCTGGTCTGGTTCTCTGGTACCTTCAGTAGCTTCAGCTGCATAGAGCTGGGAGTGGGCAGTTACTGTCACTGAGAATTTCCCAGGCCCAGCCTTTCCCTTGTAATCTGCTTTAGTTATCTAAAACTGAGTGACACACTACACCAAAATTTAGTGGCTTAAAACAACAATCCTTTATTTTGCATTCTGGCAGGGCAAGGAAGGACCACTCTGCTCCATATGTGTAGGGCCTGTGACACAAAAGGCTGGGGACCAACAGGGCAAGTCTCTGCAGTCTCCCCTGTGTTCTCTGCAGCATGGAGGTCCCAGGGTAGCTGACTTGGTAGTAGCTCACGGCTCCAAGAGCAACGATTTCCACAGGCCTGGGCAAAAGTTGCAAGACATTTGTCTAGCTTCAGAAGTCCCACAATATGGTGATTTCAACCATATTCTACTGATTTAACAAATCACTGAATCCAGCACAAATCAAAGGGAGAAGGTATAGAAGTCACCAATAGGAATGTCAAAGAATTAGCCACTATGTCTAATGCATCACAGCATCTCACTATGTCTTTAGCAAAGTCTCCCAGCTGAATTCCCTGTCCCCAGGTTCTCACTGATGGCAGCAGGGAGGCAGCAATGCACAGGGTAGAAAAAGTGAGGGTTTCAGAGGCCATTAGGCCTGTATTCCGGTCCAGGCAGGATCCACCACTTAGCAACCAGTTGAGCTTGTTAGGTTACTTATTTCATGCTGCTGTGTTTTCCCTGCCCCAGATGCTGAGCTCTGAAAACTGTCCTGTGATAGTCATTTGTTGGTGCCAAGGCCAGTTTCCTGGGGCTGCTCCCAGCCCATGACCAAGCACAAAAGACCTATGCCTGGAAAGTGCCAGACTCCTGGGATAGGCCTGTGATTTGGCTCAAGTACCTTTCAAGGCCTTGCTGAACTTTCTCAAGGTTGCACTGTAGTATAAGATGCTTCCTTCCACCCAACTTTCCTTCCTTGCCTCTCTCCTTCACAAGGATCACATCTGCATTCCAGGTCCAGCTCTTGTTTCTCTCATGTATCTCTTGCAAAGCACTACTGTCTGGCATTGCTTTTGAGGGACTAGGACAAACAGCCACATGCTCACAGGGCTGCTGCGGGTATTAAATAAATGGGTGTATGTAAGCACCCAGTCAAAGCCTGACATTCATTCCATTAACATTTATTAAGTCCCTGCTGTGTGCAGGCTTTAGGGTGCCTGGTACATACAGGTGAGCAAAGCTGATGCCAACGTAAGGGCTGCCTGCTGGAAGCTTCCTGCTGACTCGCACTGCTGAGAGATAAAGTCCCAACTCTTCTGTAGAAGAGACAAAGAACCCTTCAAAGTCCGATCCCAGGAGGCCTCGACACCTCCCACTCCATAACCTGCAACCCAAGCCTATAATCAAAAGGAACTTCCTTCTTTCCTCTTACAGTCTTGCTCTTTCACCCCCAATGTTTTAGCACACCTTTTCCTTCTCCTTGGAATGCCTCTTCCCTTCCTTCTACACAACCCTCACGTGACAAACCCTTACACATCCACCAAAACCCAGTGCATTTGTGGGCTCCTAGGTCACCGGGAGACATGCTTGTTGGCACAGATCTCTGCACGCACCTCGTAAAAGCGAGGTTACATTGTTCTGTAGTTGCTGTAACAGTGGCTCCGCTAACTTGTGAACTGGTCTAGAGCGGGGGCAATGTTGCATCCATCCTGAAAGGCCAGGGCTTGGCACTTGATACGCCCGCAGTACGTGTCTGCAAACTGAGTATGTGAATGAGCCACGGAAGACCAACGATTTGCGGGGCGACAGCGGGGCTCGCGGTGAGAGGGCGAGGTAGCGGCGGGGTTTGGCCGAGGTAGGGGAGCCACAGGCGCGGGGACCAGGCGGGGTGGGGGGGCGGGGTGGCAGTCGGGGACGGGTGCGGCTCTCACGGGCCGAATCGCCGCCTCCGCCTCGGGGCACATGACTGCCGGCTCGGCCTCCGCCCCGCCCGCCCGCCTCCCCGCGCAGCTGCTGGCGGTGGCCTCCGGAGTTTGCGGCGAGCGGGGTGGAGAACGTCACGGCCTGCGCGATCCGTTTCTGGCTCCGGAGCTGCGCCAGGCGGGCGCCGCGGGTGCCCTAGCGAGAGAAACCGAAACCAAAGCGTCTCGTACCAGTCCCCGGCCGGCCAGGTGTCCCGAGAGCCCTCGCGCCCCCCTGCGGATCACGGAGCTCAGCGCATCGACCGGCCCGCGGGCGTCCGAGGGTCGTGGCCGCACCGGCGGCCTCTCCCCCTTCCTGTTGGGTCGCCGGCGTTCGTCGCCTTGCCGGTGAGCCGCGCGCATAATGGCCAGGTGCTGCTTCTACGCGGTAGGGACCCTGTCCCTGCTCCTGCTGGTGACCAGCGTCACTCTGCTAGTGGCCAGGGTCTTCCAGAAGGCCGTGGACCAGACGATTGAGAAGGTGAGGCGGAGGGGGGTGTGTGTGTCCGCGCGCCCTGGGAGACCACGCGGGCGGCGGGGTGTGGGGTGTAGGTGGGGAGCACTTCCAGTCCCCCCTCCCACTGCTGAACCCTGTGCAGGGAAGACCTGCACCTCTGCAAACTCTCGATGTTAGAGCTCTCCTTTCTTCCCCGGGTTAGTAGGCAAGGGTTAAAGAAGGATGGAAAGGAATGGCAGGACTACGGTATGTTCCCTTTCTAACAATAAGACTGTGGATCTCGACTTTTTAAAAAGGCCTGCCCTTCTGTTCTATCATTTGTATCTCCACTCCCATCTCCACCCCATCCCTCCCGACACCCAGATCTCTGTTGGGCCCAAACTCATTTCCCTCCCACTTCATGAAAAAACAAAAGTAAATGAACACAACAAAAGAGGCAAGTTTGTTGGCTGCTGGCCGTGGCCTTTGAAGTGGTGTGTGTGGGGGTGGGGTGGGGGTGAGAAGCAGGTGTGTGGTTATTGTGTTCTGGCCTTCCTGGGTTGGGCAGGGCAGTGGGTAGCCAGGGCAGTGGGTAGCCAGGCCAGGCCTCAGGGCTGGGTGACATTTCAGTCCATTCAAGTCTGTGCCTATTCGCCTCCTTAGCAGCGTGCTATTCTTGTACCAACAGTGTGTGGCTTTGTCTCATCATCCATCCTTGCTCTTCTCAAACAGCTATAAGCTTCACACAAAGATGCATTATACTGATTCTTTGAAGAATAGGAATCTGTCACTTCTCCTTTAGTGAGAGGGCTGGAGAGCTAGCTAGTCCTTTTGGAAGGCTTCTCCATCATTTGACTTCATGGGTGATCATTTCTTCTGCTCTTTCTCCCAGAACCACCAATCTGTGTGGAAAGAGCAACAAGAGAGAGTTTTACTCGATCACTTTTTCCTTAAAACACACACATACACACACACACACACACACACACACACACACACAACACTGGAGCAGCCTGACTTCTCCCTCTGGTTTGCACTTGCTGCAGGCCAGATCAAACATCTCAGGGCTTGTCCAGTTTGATCACCGCACCCACTCCCTGCCAGTACAGTTGTCTCATTCTGGGTGGCAACAGACATATTCCTTTAATAGAGGTTTCCCAAACCTCTTGGGAATATTGAGCCATCAATTACTTCAAATCTGGCAGTTAAAGGCAACTTAAAAAAACAAACAAACACTGCCGAGGGAAGGCATAATTTAATTTTTTTAAGTTCACATTGCCAAGGGGAAATAAAGCCCATTGTCTGAGCTTCTTACCATTGTTTTCCCTGAACACCCATGTTCAAGGAAAAAACTGAACTGAATCTTCTTCACTCCCTCCCACCTGAAAATTCATGGCAAAATTGTTTAAGGATGTAAACTCTTGCTTGGGTGACTAGAGTTAACCCAATTATAGTCAATATATGAGTTTTCTTACCTGGCTTTGAAAGGCTGTTTCAGGAGAGCCCTGTGAGATGATGAGCTCCCCAGCGCCTAGGTATTACTGCCTCTCAGATGCTCTGCGGGTCCTAACTTCATAGGGGAGGGGTAGCTGTACAGCATCTAGGCTGGGGCTTGAGTTTGCACTGAGATTTGGTGATAAGCTTTTCAGGTGGTTTTCTCAATGGGGATTGGGCTTTGTGCCAAGTAATAAATTTTAGCACAGGACAAGTGGGCTTTCAGAATTGTCCAACCCCACCAGGAACACTACGTAATGTGGTGCGTGAAACCAAACAGCAGGGCTAGCTTCAGTGGAAAGATATGGGACTATCGTAAGTCAACCAGAGGTTATGTGTCCCCATCATTACCATTCTGCTCTCCTGGATCACCTGTAGCATTGTGGGATAGTGGGAAAGAGTGAGGGTTCGGCAGATCAACCCTCCTGGGCATGAAACCTGGCTCCACCAGTGCAGAAGCTGGCTGACCTTCTGCTAGATAGGTGCTTAACTTTTCCTGATCCTTGATTTCCCCATCTGTAAATAGAAGGGTTATAAGAATTCCTAAGGAAAATGGGTATTTTCAAGGGATATAGTTAGTGCTTTGTAAATGGTAACAGTTTCATATTTTGTGAGAAGTCACATAAGCAAAGAAAAAATACATGAGATTTCAAGTCAGACACCCGTGTTGAAATCCTAGCCTTGCGATCTATATGCTTTTTGATTTTCAGCAAGTTACTTAACTTCTCTGAGCCTTGATTTCACTACTTGGAAAAGCGAGGATGTTAGCTGTCTTGGGCACCATGCTGCATTTATGATAAGACTCACAAAGCTTAAGCTTCTGGCCCCTTACTTGCACAAGTCCTTCCAAAGCTCTGTACCTAATTCTGCATCCAGAATTTTCTTTTTCTTGGGGAGGGCCTCCTCACACTGTGTCAGCTATACACAAACCGTGGACCTGCCTCTGTGTGTGTGTGCTGTCGTGAGACTGAGTATAGCATCTGTGTAGAGCACTCAGCACAGCATCAGGCACTGAATAGGTGATGAATTGTGGCCACTGTCATTATTTCCAATAGTATTATGAACAATTCATTCGCAACTTGCCTTCAATATAGTTGTAATATAATCCACCCTTTTACTCCCTGTTCTTAGTTGTTTCATCTGAAGATTGCCCATGCCCTGGCTTGTCTACATCAAAAGTGGAAGAGAGAAAAGGGATGACATTCTGATGAACTGGTTTGACTAATTGCAAGAAACTTAGTAATATAATTCCTATCAGAAGAATTTGCCTCAAGTGATAATTGCCCTTGAGTCCTGCAACGACCAGAGGTGGTTGAAAGGAGATGTTAATTTGGGCCAGTGCACATAGTGGAAGGAACCAGGACTAGTTGGCCTCACCCTGGGCAAACCCTGTAGTTATTTCTGCTTCACTTTTCTCAAGTGCAATAGAGGCAAAGAGATGCCTCCCTCCTTTACGCCCCCACTCACTTCCTGGGGGATATTCTGAGCCGTGAGCAGGCCTTCTCTATCAAGTGTGTTGATCTCCTTGAAGACAGAGCTTTGCACAGACCCAGCAATCTCTTTTCTTCTGTAGAGCGCAGAAGGACAGGGTTTTATGTTACATTTCATTTCATTTGGCGAGCCCACCGATTGTCCCGGCACCAGTGCAGGGCCCGGTACGTGGCAGGGGCATAACGAATGCCCACGGCCTCTTTGTAGATCATTTTGGTTGAAAGAACAGTGTTCTGAGAATCAGCAGAATGTGTTTAAAATTCCTGTTGCTCTCACTAACAAAGACTTGTATTAAATGGAACAAAACACGTAACAAGTTACTGAACCCCTCAAAACCTGTTTCCTTATTTTGAAATTGGGGGTAGTAAGAAGAGCTTCTTTAGGGTTGCTGCAAGAAGGAAATAAAGTGATTGGTGTAAAGCATCTAGCAAAGTCTCTTGCACAACACCTGGACATTAACAATTGTGTTATTGTTTCTGCTTATTCTTTTCTCATCTAGAAACTGAAGCTTATATTGTCATTAGGGTTCCTTCTAGCTCCCAAATCCTGGGATTCTGTTAATGGTCACGTGACCTGTGCTTGAGAGCAACATTGCAGCCCAGAATATTAATTTTGGCCTTAGATTTGAATTTGAACATATCCCAGAAATGGGGATGCAGAGCTGGCCCAAGCCAGGGCTGGCCAGTAAGAGATGGGCTGGCAAGGGAACCAGTGAGAGGGAAAGAGATGGTTCCCATTCTGCTTCCTATCTGCTTCCCACAGGCCAAGGAAGAACAATAGCATTAGGTCTCAGGGATAAGATGAACAGGACAAACACACTTACCCTTTGCCAAGAACCCGAGCCTCCGGGCAAGGGAGTCCCTGCTGGCCTCTTCTGGGAACCATAGCAACTGTGGAGCTGTTGTGCTGATGCCTCGAGAAACATAATCACTGGTAATTTAACCAGATAGCGTTGATGGGTGAAGATGTACAGGTTTTGTTTTTAAAAGTCAAATTAGTAAAATATTCTTGTTGTTTATGTAAAGATGATCAACTCTATATAATCCTAAAGGGCTCCTTCTTACACATCTGCCTCCTCTCCCGAGTTGCCTTTTTTTCAGAGTTGTGAAGACTTAGATAGAATCTGAGAGTAGGGAAAAACTTTAGCCATCACTTAATCTGATATTTTATAGTCAAGGATACTGCAACTAGGTTCATTTTTAAGTGCATGATGGTAGGCATCAAATTGCCTTTATATTTATATGGCTCTAGGAACACAGATAGGTGACTTATGGAAGGCCGAATGGAAAGGAAGGGGTGGGCGTAGGTGTCAGCTGGGTCTCCTAACTCAGGTTTTCCTCCGAGGAGGACCGTACATCTGGTCGGCAGCGACAGTCCTGGTTTATTTACACTGTTGTCCTGGTGTAATTACCAGCACCCTCTTTCCTTTCAAAAGATTCCTGGTTTGGACAATACATTCTGTCCTCACACATCACACTGTCCTCTACCTCTTGGCATTAAAGGGGGACAATTCTCTCTAAGGAGCTGAGGCCCGCTCAAGCTGGCTCATGAAAGATAGGATTTTTTCTTTTTCTAAAGCTGCAAAAGGAAGCTCATAGAAACTGAAGCATGAGAACCACAGCACAGTAAGGCCTCCTAGAGTGCAGTGGAAACTGGAGAGTCAGTGGGCAGACTGTGCGTCTGCCTGTCTGGCCCCCGGTTCCCCGCCAGCCTGCTTCCTCTGTGTACTTGCCAGCCCGGGCGGCTTTCTCATCCGGGGCTCCCTCAGCCACGGCTCCTCATGACCTTCCAGCTGCTGAGCCTCCCTCAATGAACAGGTTCCATTTCTTAGTTTCTTTTTTCCAAATTTGTCACAGAGCAACATGGCTGGCTTAGCACAAGCAGGAATCATAGATTTATAAACAGTGGCAATAACCTTGCAAGATTCTTTAATACCTAAGCAAAAGTATGCACCTCCTCCCTGGCGTTCAGAAATGTGATCTTGTGATATCAAAATCATATTATGTTTCTTTCAACATCTTACTCATTTGTGGTGACCATGAGTGCATTCAATATTCATG